ACCATTCAGTGTAAGAGTATAATTTCTCTTTTGTTCTTAATATTCAAGCAAGAAAACATTTGTGTATTTTGGGAAAGTAATATTGCAGAACAATCTTTCACCAGAATATATTAACATTGTAAACTTACCAAAGACAAATGAAATCTATTTTGTTTTTCTTTTATGATATTAACAGTTACTGTAAATGGTGATGAAAATGAACTCAAAAAATGTAAAAGATATAGTAAAATAGACATTTCTTAGATGTCCATTTAATTTCTTTTAGCTTTGGTGTAAGAATTTATGTTGAACCAATTTCTTGTGTAGTTTCTTAACTTGAATTTGACTGCCTTAACAACTCACCATTACATTGATAAGGAATAATCATGTTATTGTCATTATATCCAGTTTCCATGTTGCTCTTGACATCTTAGCCAACATAGATGGATATTTCAACTTGTGTATAATCTCTAATACAATATTCAGTCAAAAAACATCAACTCTCTCTTCCACCATTTTATTTATCTGATCTCTGTTCTTTTTTGTCAAGGGAATCTTCTATAAGTTATAAATGTTCTTATATTTTGAAAAACCTTTCAAAAATGCTTGGGTGCATGTTGTTTTTCAAAACTGATTGCAAAATGCCTATGACTATAAATTCTTGTTATTCTTTAAAAAAAAAAAATTGAACTCCTTAGTCACTTCATTTCTTGACTTCTCTGAATGAGTTTTCTTTCTTGGATTGGTAAATCTTTCATCTTCTTCTTACCCCATCCACATTTCTCTCTTTCATCTATTAAAAATGTTGAACCATGATTCTCAGCCAATGCTATCATAATATTGCTACTACCACCACCACCACCACAGTCTTTAGCTTCACTTATTTGTTAATATAGCTCAGTAGTAAACCACAAGGGCATGAAGTTTTACATTTTATTCCAAAGTTAGTTAGATGACCATTTATAATAATAATAATGTCACTAAGGAACACGCTGACAATCTTTTACATTGCTGGTACTCTTTTACTATTTTAAACTGACACCTTTTTTTGCCCTGCTTTTAATTATAATCATAAACTATCATTTTGGAAAGTGAAAATTTCATTGAAATATGTTGGAAAATTAACAAGTTTTCATTTTAAATCAGGAAAATATAAATGATTACAACATATTAGAAAAAAGAAGGTGTCAGTTTAAACTGGTGCCAGGAATATAAGGGAATTATAATTATTTTATGAGGATTGTCATTTTGAAAAATGCCAAAACATAATGGTGATAGAGACTAGGTTAGTAACTGTTTCCAGGATCTTTAAAACACAAGTGACATGCTGGTGTACCAAACCCCAAAATTTGAAATTGTATTAACTTAAATTGAATGGTAGAACTTTGAGTATGGTGGAGGGATTAGTACTATTTAACCATATCATCTTCTTCCCCTACTGGTGTTACTTCTACTGTTATTATTATATGCTTGTCTCTCTCATTTTATTTATCTTGTATTTTCTGATTACTTCTTCCTATTGAAAAATGGTAGAAAATATCTTGAGTCCATTTGCATTTTTGATATTTCTTAAGTTTTTTTCTATTAAATATTTTTTTTCTAATTGTTTCATTATTTAATCATTTATTTGACATGTTTGTTAGTCCTAAGGATTTATAGGCAACATGAAAAATCTAATTTTCAATAGGAATCATATTTTTCTACAAAGATACGGACTGCTTTGCAATTGGCATTTTATTTATTTGTGACTGGAGGATTCAAAAAAATGTGAACTGTGATCTGTATAAAATAATTTTGATAAAAAATCCAAACTTTTTATTGGTCTATGATTTTTTTTTTCTCTGTTTATGTTTAAAACCATCTATGCTCCTTATGAGCTGATGGGATTTATTTTTTAACACAGATATTCTTTTCTTTTTTTTTTTTTTTGTCATTATTAATGACCATCCATGCAACCTAAATTTAATGCTCAGTTCTGCTGTGAACATAAATTAATTTTTGATATATATCTCATGGTTCAAATGGGAACATGCTTTAAATATATTCTTTGTAAAGGTTTTTATATAGATTTTCTACTAATTGACAAAGATTCCAATTTCAATTCCTTTCTAACATTTACAGAAACTACCAAAAAGGAAAATGTATGAGTGAATTTTATTTGCTTTTTCTTGGTTTCACAAAGATTTTATCATTGCAGAATGAAATTTGATAACTTTTTCAATCAATTCATGAAGTAAACATTGGCTATTGGATTTATATGAAAATTATGAATGAAAAAAGAGGGAAATTCAAAAGCAAATTCTCACAATCATTGAAACATTGACATTCTTTAAAGCACAAATGCACACAGTTATATAATGATTATATAATAAATTAAACGAAACAATTTAAAAATAATTATTATTTTTGCATTTTAATTCTCTTTATGCAAAATGAGAAAATTTTCTGAAATGGGTATAATATCATTGTTTCCCTTATATAGACATTGTTTTTTTTACCAGAAATTTTGGTATAAATATGGTTATTTTAAAGTTGAACAGTCAAGATTTGCATTTCAGTCTTTCTGAAGTCATTTATTTATAAAATTCAAATGTAAATATAATTTCATAGTGTATAAATTATATACAGGGTGTGACAGAAATACCTCCCACATAATGGTAAGACATTAACTACATGAAGACACCATTGCCACTAATGTCTCACCATTATGTGGGTGGTATTTCTACTGCACACTGAGTGTGTTTGTATATATGTGTGTGTGTATATATATATATATATAAAAAATATCTCCTACTACTCCAGACATTACTTTGTGGGTACCATGTTTGTGTAAACACCCTGTTGTTTTTAACAGTGTGAATTACACAAAAACCAGGAACTACAATTTCTTCATGCTGTTTACTTTTCTATACATTACCAAAATCTGGGTCATATACTGGCACCTACTTAGGTGCCATGTTGTCACCAGACCATTCTAAAAGTGCATTGGAATGACTTGATCCCTAATACTGAGATTCTTACTTCAGTGGTGGGCTGGTTATATGGAAAAAATGGAGGGCTATAGTTTTCTGATGACCCTCCTATTTTAGGAATTATTAGGGTTCTAGTGAAGAGATACAAAGCTTCTTTGAAAAAAGCCTCATCTTCAGATAATTCCACCCACCATGAGTGGGAAACAGAGGTCACTGACAGAGTGTGCCATAGAGACACAAGATTTATTCGGCAACCACCCATGTCATATATATATTTCAGAAAATGTCCTATTGACAGTATCTTTTATTGATTCTATAATATTAATTAATAAAATAGTAGTTAATAAATATTTAATCTGCAATGGAAGTATTCTACTAAATTAAAATACTCAAAATTCTTCCTTCACTTTATAGCAAAACATTTACAGAACTGTTTTAAACTTTTAATTCAGATTTGTTTGTGGTTGAAGTACTTGTTCAAAAGCCAATTGTTACTGACAAAAGTTTTAAAATTTTTCCTAATATCAAACCATTCAAACATCAGCACAATTTAAAAATTTGGAATAAGATTGTTACATTTTTTTTTGTTTTTTTTTTCTGTTAGCCATATTAAAAAATACTGGAATTTTATAACGTCTTTACAAAGAAAAAGAAAACATTGAATATTAAAATATATATAAGAAAGCCTAACCAAAGTAAGTCAATGATGTTTGGGGAGAAAAAATTATTTTTTGTATGATGATAAAAATGTGGTTACAAAAGAAAGAAGTAAATACAATTATTTTGTAGTAACTTAATTTTTTATCTCTTGTGGAATTGAGAGTAATAAGTGAAACTATTTGAATGATATCAGAAGAACACAGCCTTTTGTACTGTTGATAAGAACAAGAACCTTTTCAGAAATAACTTTCATTTATTTCTGCTCCCAATTAAACTTAATAAAAAGCATTAAACTAGTAGGGTGTATTTGAGGCACAGAATGAGTAGATGGCGTAACAGAAAGCAATTTACCTAATGAGTTTGTGAGAATAGCAGGCACAAGGAGGGATGATAAAGAGCAAACATTGCTTGAAGTTAAAAAAATGGGAAGTTGTGGAGAGCTAATGTCCTGAAGGGGCATAGTACATAAATGCTGACTGACAAAAATATTAATTCATTGAGTTGAATTAAATACTGGTTGTGCACAAAAGTTTCCAGGAAAAGAAAATCAGGCTTCAGTTATTTATTTGGTTTCAGATTCTCTGGGAACATTTGCATATACACCAAATAAATTTCACTTTTCTCTCTTTTTTTGATCCTTTTTTCTGTTGTTTTTTTTTTTTTTGTTTCTTCTTCATAGATTAAATATTTACTTATTTGAATCTGAATGCAGAATCAGTGCAAATATTGATTTGATCAAACTAGTATCTTCATCTTGTTTGTTATTCTCACAACATTTTTATCACTGTATCCTGAAGCTGCCTTCAAGTGTCTGTCGAAATTACTCAAAGGTTCAAAGCATTAAAAGACACTTGCAGAACCTAACAGATGAAGCATGACAATAACAACCAAGATGGGGATGTTAGTCAAAGCAGATCTATGCAGAATATATTTACTAGTTTACCTGACAGTAATATTTAAATTTCTTACATTTTATATGCACAATGCAATTGCAGAAATTATTTCCCATTTCTCTGCGAGATAAAAATTTAAGACATTAATAAATTATAGCATTTTATTTGAAAATTTTAAAAATAACAAAAAGATTTTTATTACATCATCCAAAGATTCCAATACATAGGAATTCACTCATCTCTATGTAGTGAACTCCTTTGGTGATGTGTTACACACACAAATATATATGTGTGTGTGTATGGATGCATGCTCTATTTTTATGTCTGTAGATTTCTTGATTCCTTTCTGCAAAAAAAAAAAAAAAAAAAAAAGAAATACTGAATTATTTTAATTCAATAAAGTAACCATGTCAATTTTTGCAGTGTTCTTGTTAAATGAGGTTGTTTTATTTTTTCCTTGTTATTTTCATTTGTCTCTGTCTTTATCTGTTGCCAGACAGAGCAGTCGAGCTCCACTGATTCCAAACGAACCAGATCAACCAAAGGTCCTGCAGGTAAAGGTACTTCATCACAATTCTTCTACTAAGCTTGCTGCTTGGACATTATACGTATTGTCTCGTTTGTATTGTTTCTGTTCCTTTTCTGTATGCCTGGTCATCTACCTCTCTATATCGGTTTATTTTACCTCTCTTTCTCTATTTATTTATTTGCTTCTCATTTTCTATTTGTTTGACAGTGTGAGTGTTTCCATTTCTCTTTTTATTTGTACCTGTCTTCCGTGTTGTCTATCTTTTTGATGTTTGTACATTTGCATTTATTGTGTCTGCTTCTTGTCTTGGCTATTTAACCTTTGTTATATGCATCAGTCTAGCTGCCTCCATCTTTAATTTCTTTTTATTCTATTTTCCTTGTCTATGTATTTTTGCCTGTGTGCAGGGCTGGCCTTAAGAGCTGCATGGGGCAAATGTAAACATTTTTTTGTAGGGCCACAGGTTCACAGCCAACATTTCTAGAATCTTAGATATATTAGGCTAAATAGACAAACCTTTTTGGTAATAGACAGAGAAGTTTATTATCAACTTTATATCTACCACTTTATGTGAACTGTCAAAAAATGATGAAAATATTTCAGTAATTTTGTATTTGCCTTGGTTATATTTTCTGTATGATTCATCTATTTTTTTTTTATCTATACATATACATCTATATTATCACATTTTTAAGATTAGTAAAAGCAAAGATATCAAAAAGATGTGAAATAAGAAATAAAAAGCATTCTGATATTCTCTACTTACTAATGAGATATTCTATTTTTAAAATGAGGTATGTTCACTTATTGACATCAAGTAATGCTTCTGATTACCATAACAAAGGAATATCTCATTATTGTAAATAGGAGAGATAAGGATGGGTGATCATTAAATATTTAAAGTCACATTGTGTTTTATATTATAGAATAAATGGTAAAATGTAAAGCAAACAAATATGAACTGGATAACATTTAATTTAAATTCAATAAAAAAAAAAAATTTCAAAATATAAACACAATTTTTAAAGAATTCTGAATAAAATTAAAATCATTATTTCTCTTTGTAAAACTTAAAATGTAGCATTAAATCCATTGTGTTGATGTATATATTTGACAAAACTATATTACACTTGTACAAAGGCTGCTTTAGGAGGATTAGGCCCTATAGGTTTAAGGATGGCCATGTGTGTGTGTGTGTGTGTGTGTGTGTGTCAGTTACCTTTCCAGCATCTTTTGCCATTGTATTCATATATAAACTTTTATCTGGACATTTGCATGTTTCTTTGTTGAATTTATGTCTTTTTTGCTTTCTTCTTCTCTCTCCATTTCTGTATATATATGTGTGTGTGTGTATATTATGAAATGGACAAAGTCCAACAATTATTTAAACATAAAATGTCTTTAAAAAAATATATATATATATATATATATATATATATATATATATATATATATATATATTAATTACAAATATGAAATTTGTAACTTAGCTGATTAATGTTATAATCAGCACCCTGACTCCAGAGTTTTGTAGGCAGACCTTTTTTATAATTGTTCAGGCAACTTGCGTTTTCAGCAAGTGACTGCCAATTTTCTTGTTTTCATTATTTTTATATAAAGTTAAAAAAATTTGTTTTTTATTGATGTTAGGTTTATTTTTTTCTTCATTGTGTGTGTATGCCTGTATGTGTGCATATGTAAAATGTTGCAGTTATTCTCCTTTGCATCATTTTCTTGTCTCTCTCTCCCTATTCCTTTTCTTTCTTTTTTCTCTTTAAACTCTGAGTGTCAGATATATATATATATATATATATATTATAAATTAATTGATTTAAAATATGGTTATTTTCGCTACACAGTTCCAACCATGTTTCAAAAATAGAAGCTAAAAACCCCTAATTTTATTTTTGCAAATAAATTAAAAGCATTAGTTCTATTTCATCTTCAAGCGAATTTTGGAGTAACTTTTAAAATTTACCGGGTTTTAAATACACAGCTAAAATCACGTTTCCATGGTTACAGAATATTCTACTCAATATTCTATATATATATATTACCAATTTGTGACTGGTAGGGATAATTCCAAGGAGGATATTAGTCCAGAGAGAGCTCAATGTAAACTACAGAGCTTTATAATAAGAATAAATCAAGAAGAAAACCTTAAAGATTCATTTCAGTTATAATTTATTTTGTGAATATTTCTGTATATTCATCACTTCAGAATGAAAGCTTTTAATAAATGTAAATTAAATTTAAGATTTATTCAAATAAGTAAGCTTTTAATAAATCTTACATAAATTTAAGATTTATTAAAAGCTTTTATTCTGAAGTGATATAGAAATATTCATGAAATAAATTACAACTGAAATGAATCTTTATGGTTTTCTTCTTGATTTATTATATATATATATATGGAAGTAAGGTCTGATGATCCAGGGAAAAAGAAACTCCCTGGGGAAATAAATTATAACGATGGAACCTTAAAGTTGTCTGGTTTTTTTTAAATTAAATATATATATATATATATATATATATATATATATATATATATATATATATATATATATATGTGTGTGTTTTTACATGTGTTGTTTATGTGTGTACAAGCCTTGTGAGTGAAAAAATTGGATAAGCAAAACTGTTCAGAAGTCATTAATGGTTGTATTAGCCTCTAGGAATCACAGATCATTGTGGCCCAAAGGGTTTGAGCATATTGGATTTGTTCAATTGTTGTTCATGCCAGATTGTGTGCCCCTCTCCCAGAAACTGTAAATAATGTTTGCTCCACATGGCTGTAAGGTAAATCATGGCTTGACTCTGTGTGTTAAAGAAACACAAATGTACCTGAGTGGATGTCTGGAGCAGGGATTAGCTAGCCACCCTAGTAGATAGGTCTATTCAGTAATGAGCAGCAAGTCACTTGAGAATACCAAAGGAGTTTTTGTGAATTGATAGCAGAGCAGGGACAAGGAGGAATGGTAAAGAGTCAAACATTGCTTAGAACTAGAGAGAGCAAGAAGTTGTGAGGGAACCATGATTGCCCATGTTTTGAAGGATATGACTTATAAATTAGAGAGATGGAGAGAAAGACAGAGAGAGAGACGTTCTAAAAATTATTGGATGCGTGAAATTGTTAGTCAGTACAGAGTGTTGATTTCTATATCCACACTGTATATATTTACAAACTCTCTAAATTCTTCAATTGTGAGCACTCTTCCCCCCATTAATATAAGAACGTTTAAGCTAACTTTTGAAATGTCTTCAAACTCTTTTCTCTTTCTCCTGCAATGATTCCTTTAATCAGATTTTTTTCGTACTCTAAAACTATTATTGCAAAAGACTTATGGCCATATTGCATTGAAATACTGGTTCCCATACAATCACTAAAATTAAGCAACATCAAACCTGATAAGTACCTAGATGTGTGACCAAATACTAGGTGCTGAAAGCTTGGATGTACATGTGGTATAATGGCTCAGAACTGGAAATCACAGAGCTGAATTCCAATTCTGGTTGAGTTCATTATATTCACTTATGCGTAAATATCCTTGGAAAAGGTATGAATCCAGCTCTTCTCCCACCAGCTATGGGTTAATGAAATAAAATAGGTTATCCAGAGCGACAAGCACCTAATGAAGTTCGGAAGGTACAGTGGCTGAAATATTGTGATAATAACAAAGATGAGGACTATAGTCCAAATCTAAAATAAGAATTCTCAAACTTTTCTAACAATCAGTCTGCTTTCTTTATGCACTGGCAATGTAAAATTTGTGAGTGTATACCAAAGTGACTGAACAATACTGTCCTTTAGCTGGCTTTTATCATTTATGACTTATGTTTTACCCTAAACTCTCTGACTCATGAGAATAATTACCGTCTAAATATTACATTTCTCTATTGAACCATAAAGATTAGATAATCGCAAATGACTTTCATATAAAAAGAGGGATTAAAATATTCCTAATAAGGGACGTAAACTCAGACTGCTTTCCCAGTAATGATAATGATAATATTCACCATTTCCTTATAAGGAAACATTTGGCATTCATTGACCAATCAGCCAGTGCTGTCATCAGTTGGAATTTATAAAATATTTCCCTTGAAATAATCTTTCAGGAAAATAGGTTTCTCAAGTCCAGTAGCTGTTATTGCTCTTTCCAGTATTGATGAGGGTTTCCTTTTGTTTGAAGTAGTGCGGAAAGTCAACATCTTAATTATATCATTATTTTCTCTTTGAGTTACATGTGCTATCCATTTTAGCTGTTACTGCTGTTGGTAGTCCTCAAGTGATGTAGTTTCTGTTATCTGGTACAGTTCTTTCGGATTCTGTAGTGCCAGTCCACATGGTTCAAAGAAGACTGGTCTTCACCCAAGATTCAGACTTCATTTGTTCAACAAAGTCATTTTTAAGCATCAATCATATAAAATGGTTGTATACAGCTGACAGTTTAGATATTTCTGAACAAGTTTGGTGCCATGCATAACATCCATATGAAAGTCTCAATCTGACAAGGATATTTAAGAATATGAGTCCAGTTTTCAGGTTAATATTTTAGTTTTGTATCAATTTGAATTGGTTTGTGAAAATACCTCTATCACAGCCTATTCTATATTCAATTTCCTTATGTCCTATACTAAATTTGTTATAACAGATCAATACACCAAGGTATTTGAAGTGCTTTGTATTTATTGATTCCACATCCCAGATTTACAGACTGTGTTGATTCACCGTATATTGACTGATTTAGAATGAATCCAGTGAGAAAATGCTGTTGCCATTCATTATATTGTGCCAGTTTTTACTCTTTTACTTTAGATTTTCTTTGGATCCATTTCTTGAAGAAAATGACCATTATACTGCATTTCACTTTATGTTCAGTTAGTTTCATGTTTTTAACTTGGAATATTTTAATGTCAAAATAAATAAGTTAATAGATAATTCTTTCTGTATAAATTGTGTGGAATGAACTCAAAATAACTTTCAGCTCAAATTGAAATATTACAAAATCAATGTGATGCATACCA